TGTAATTGTCTCTTTTGGATGCTCATGCAAGTCTGTAAGTTGCTCACCTGTTTGTGACCCAGAATCCAGTCATGGATTCATACCCATTGATGTGAGGGTGTCAAGGAATAAGGTAAGCCTGGATTCTCTGAGGAACAGTTGTTGCCCACCTCTAAGCAGCAGCCCGTCTTTCCAGAATGTAGAAACCTATAAGGGTGAACAGAAACAAAACAGAAACATTTCCTCCTCCTATGCATGCCTGTCAGGTGCTTTTTTGCAATCATGGGATGTCAGAATCGCTTGTGACGCCAGCATTTATTGCCCATCCTTAATTGCACTTGAACTGAGTGGCTTGCTGAGCTATATTCAAGTGCAGTTAAGAATCAACCAATTTGCTATGGATCTGGAATCACGTTTTGGCCAGGCTAGATAAGGATGGCAGATTTCCTTCCCTAAAGAACATTAGTGAAACAAAGAGATTTTTATGGCAATTGTCAATGGGTAATATGGTCGCCATTAGGCCACTATTTAATTTCGGAGTTTATTGAATTCAAATTTCAAATGAGGTTCAAATCTACCCCCCCAGATATTAGCCTAGGTTTCTGGATTGCTAGTCCAGTAACATTACTATTACACCATCACCTTCAACTTTTTGCCCAATGGTGGACACAAAGCTTGGGCCCTCCTCACTTTTTCCACAATGTACTCTTAATCTTACCGCCCACTATTGCCAAGATGCCATACTCTCCAGGTCAGATTGAATGCTTTCCCAGCTGCAAATGTCAGGGCACAGATCTCCAGCACTCTTCCACCTGTTTTTGCCTTCTCTCTTACATTGTGTACATTCTTACCTGCTGGCAGAAGTAAGGCTTCACACAATTATCAACGGTCATTGCAATGATACGTAGTGGGGGCTCTCAGAACATGTCACATCCACATGTCCACCCTCAAGGGACTTGAAGGAGGCTGGCAATGAGAAGCAGATGCCTGACATCAACATGAAGCTATTGCTCATGAGGCATCTGCAGCTGGGCATAAAATTCTTTCGCTGCCTCCCAATCCCTCTAAATAATGAGGTCCATCCCATGCTGTCCAGATAAAAGTCACAGCCCTCTCAGAATTCATTGCACTCTCCTTGGCACTGCAGAGAACGTCAATGATATGCTTGCAATACTGCTGCTAGGTATGCTGATAGACCCCACAACTGCTAGTCTCCAGCGCTTTCTCTATCCAGGCCTCCATGTCAGGTGGCAAAGTCTCTTCTTGTAATCCATAACCTGTAGCAGCTTTCACTGCTCTCATGTATCGTGGAGGAGAGTGCACCATTCAACTGTGTCTGCCCCACAACAGGCGCCTTCGCAACATTGGGGTTGGTGTTTTGCTCAAATGGGAGTTGGCAGGGTGGTTCTGATTCTTCTATAGATGCGGCGAGTGGAATCTTCAGGGGCAGGAGAGAGATAAGGATGGTTTCAGGGATCACATAAGGCCAGCATTTATTGCCCATCAATGCAAGTTGGGAATATTCCATCATACTCATATTCCATCATACATCAGACTTGTGCCTGGTAGATGGTGGACAGGCTTTAGGAAATCAGAAGGCAAATTACACGCTATAGTATTCCTAGCCTCTGACCTGTACTTGTAGCCGTTGTATTTATATGGTGAGTCCAGCTGAGTTTCTGGTCAATGGTAACCCCAAGGATATGTTGATAGTGGGAGATCCAGTGATGGCAACATCATTGAATGTCAAGGCAGTGGTTAAAATGTCTCTTGTTGGAGATGGTTGTAACTTTGTCTCATCAATAAATTTTTCTACAATACATTAAGTCCATTCATCTATATCATTAATTTGTATCATAAATAGTTTAGGCCCCAACATTAATCTCTCCGGCACCCCCCTAATTACATGAGGACAATGTTAGTTACAATGGGGATGCAATGGCCTAATCATATTATCACTGGACTGTTAATCTAGAGACCAAATAATGTTCTGGGGACTCAGGTTCAAATTCCGCCATAGCAAATGATGGAATTTGAATTCAATGAAAAAAATCTGTAATTAAGAGTCTAACATGAATCCATTGGCAATTGTTAAAAAACTGATTTGGTTCACTAATGTCCTTTAGGGAGGGAAACCATCATCTTCATCTGGTTTGGCATACATGTGACTTCAGATCCACGCAATGTGGTTGACTCTTAACTGCCCTCTGGGCTATTAGGGATGGGCAATAAATGCTGACTTAGCCGGTGATGCCCTCATCCCATGAATGAATTTTAAAAAGTCTGTGAATCTGAAAATTCCATGACTCTCATTTATCCCAACTTCCTGTTTCTTCTCAGTTAGCCAATCCTCCATATTAATAGATGAGCCCCGACATCATGAGGTGAAATATGCAGCATTGCATCTATCAAAATGCAATGTACTATGGTGTTCCCTGGCAGCAATTTATAAATGGCGTCAGTACTTGCCCTCATCATCTTCTCGCCCACATCCAACGCTTGATTCACCGGACTTCACAACTCCATCTTGTTGACTGTATTGTTGCATTGAGTTGACTGCTTTCAATCCGTAACACAATGTACACTGCTTCCTGATCACCATCACGATTCTGGTTGCTATCATGGAATTCCACCCTTTAATGTTTTTTTTAGCAAATTAGTAGCCAAGATGATGAAATACCCAATGCTGGGAACATACAAGGAATGAGCAAAGATTATACTCTGAATATAGCAGCATGTGTGTGTTCTCTCAGTAGTTTCCTCCAACACTTTCATATGGCTATTAGGATATAGAACTTAACAGGGAAGGTGTGCAGTTTACAGCATGTAAGGACTGGCTGTCATGAGTTAAAGGCTGCATCAATCTCAGGCACACTCATACATAATTACAGCATCCAGCTACCTCATGTATGCTTCTTACTAAAGTAGCACCCAAAAGAAACATAAGGTTAGGGTCAAGCATATATTCTTCATATTCTGGCAGCAAGGGGAAATACTGTGGTAAGAGGCATTAAACATCTGTGCAATGTGGTTTCTCCTTACAGTTCTAGGTGCACTAACATTGTTCCGCAGACATTGCTCTGCACAGATTTGGATGCTCCCTTCATCAGATGACAAACAATGGCTCAGTTAATTCCTGAACATAGAAAACTGTCTATAATTGATTGTATATTTAAAGAAGGAAGTGAACAACATCAAATGAATTGTAAATGTAGACGTCAATTTACAATTTCTTGAAACTCAGTGGAATTGGAATCTTACAAATGACAGCAGGCTAACTTCTGCAGTCTATTCCGGTTGCTGTGGGGATCTTGCACCTCTAGGGCCAAGATGGTGAAGCTTCATCGCAACAAAGTTATTCAATGTTTAACCATGATCCTTGAGACTGATATTTCTATCTTGTTTAATTAAACCAATGCTAGACATTCGATACAAACACAGAACGTGCTGGAGAAACTCTGCAATTCTGGCAGCATCTGTGGAGAGAGAAACACAGTTAATGTTCTGAGTCCACTATGATTCTTCAGATTCAAAATCATGAGCAGATAGTAGGAGGACATTTAATTAACTAACTCAGCAGGAAATGCAAAATGCGTTTCTAAAAAATATGCAACTTAGAACAATGGCATATGGAATTTAATACTATTGTATGTAATTTATTTATAATAGGAAGAAAAATGGCTGGCATATGTAAATAATTTATGCAAGGTGTTGAAATATTTCACCTTTATTAAAAAAATTAGGAATTTTTGCTCAACATAAGAATCATTGCAGAGTATTAAATCAACAAAGCAAACAGAATGCTGAGCTACATTATCAAAGAGCAGAGCACAAGCCAGAGGAAATCATACTGAAACTGCACTGTATACAAGTTTGGCCACACTTGAGTACCATATCTACTTTTGGTCACCAATACACAAAGGAGACATTCAAGCAGCTAAACTGCTCAGAGAAGCATAAAGCTCATTATTAACAGCCAATTTTAACTCTGCGGTCAATGAGAACAGGGTGATTAGGGGTTAAAATACGCACAGTGACCTTCCTGCAGGTACACGCTGCACTCCAACACCTGCCAATTTAATATGCATGTTTTAGATGGTGAGTGATGCCCTTGCAGTAAGTCGGTTCAGACTTCATGAATATACAAGACTATATTTATGCCTTTGGAGTCCTATGAAGCAAGCAGGATGCCTATACAATTTTAAAGAGCACACATCCTAGAGGGGAAAAGCTTGGAGACACCAGTATGAAACCTATATGAAACCAGTTTGAGATCTACTGGCATAAAGTTGCTTTGATCTGCTCAGATCTGGATTTGTACTGGAGGTGACCACAATACTGGTCAGAAACCTATTGGTCAGAAATCTGACACTAATAGAGTTCATGACTTTTCAGCATGGACTCAGATTACTCCTACCCTAAACCTCATACTATCAACTTCTTGTGAATGTGTGTGCTCATACATAAAATCCATTTGAGCATTATGTTCATCGTCTTATGTCTTTTATTTTTAGATGCCTCGTGCCCCCAGACTCCATGCTCCCTAGTCCCTGTGCCACCTCACTCCCACATTCACAGTTCCTGTCTCTCACTCACCACCCTCATAGTTCCACTACAACCCAATTACCCACCATCACAGCTCCCATATCCTGATACCCGCCCTCACAGACCTATCTCCCTAACTCCTACCCTCACAGCTTCCTCACCCCCTGACTCTCCATCATCACAGATCCTGTGCCCCTAATTCCTCATCCTCACATTGACTCCCATCTCCCCATTCTCACAGATCCTGCCTCCTCATTCCCTGCCATCACAGATTCTGCTGTGGCCCAATCTCTATTCTTTCCTCCTTTGTGATTGCAGTGTTTAACACTAAATGAAAACACATAAGAAACAAATATTCATTGTAACGTTTTTCATTTTATTACAGAAGATTTTAGGAATTATACACAGCTCACTTTTCCATGCATGGAAATGTCAATGTCCATTTATATCATGCTTGAATTTATTTATGCTTTCATATATATATTTATTAGCACTTGTGCAATGGATTGATGCACTTTTTGCCAGATTATAAGAAGTTATAAAAATAATGAAGGCACCATGTATTCATGACCTTGATCTCAGACCTTATTTGAATTTCTGGAGTATGCTTTTACTCTCACATCTACCACGTATTCTGTGGTAATCACTGGAAGTGCTGGGATTCACATTTATACAATAGAAAATCATTTAAAACATTTCTCTCCCACAGTTAGAAGTGTAGATTGATGGCATATACAGTCTAGAAAAGTTGAATATGAAGGTCAGAAATTGGCAATGACATGCGCCTTGTTAAAGTCACACAAGAAATACAGTATATACCTCTAAGCTCCATCTTGATACAGGCAGCCAATGCTTCTACAGCAAGCACTGCCTGAATGTCTCAGAAAGACTCCCGTAAAAATTCATGAATTTGCAGCAATGCATCGTGTTTTGTCATGTGCCGTCATTTGGAGCTTCTCGCTGCTGTGTTTGGTTTTCTGCCATTTCAGGTTCAAGCATCAACACGCTGATCAGTCCCAGCTTTGAAATCTACAAGTGCTCACTGTAGTGGAAATGCTGTCAGAAAAGCTGGGATACAAACAAAATCAGGTTCAGAAGCTAGCCAGGAAAGTAAGATTTTTTTTTAACATTTTATCCCTCATGGACCAGGCTGTCCAGGAAACCTTTGGTTATTATTTATTTATCCCGACTCTCAGAATTAGTGTTTGGAGCCATTCCCTTTGGCCTGAATCTGTGGACCCCTGCCATTCAAGTTCCACTCCTATCCACTGATCCAGTATTGATTAACACTGAGATTATGTGAGACACTCAACTGGGTGACAATAATGAAGCCAGAGTTAAAATGGCTTGCGATGTATGCTAAAACAGCTAAGATGTCCCCGCAGAGATCTTGGTTTTGAGAATAGATGGAGAAAACACACTGAGAAACATGGCTGAACCACATCAGCTGGCACATTATGGCAGAAAATAGCAGTCTCTGAATTACAAATCACCACAAAATGTTGATCAATTACTGATGCACAACTGTTATCTGAGCAAAAATAGCATCAAGTTCACTTAACCTCCTCATGATATTCATTAGGTTATTGTGTTTGCACTGTAATTTTTCAATAAACTGGTCACAGAATGCAAAGTCTAGTGATGTACCCTTTTAACAAAGTATTTACTGTTCATGACTGTCAACCAGCCTCTTTTGTCCAGAATGTGAAAACATTATAAATATGGAGTCTCATTTTGTCAAGTTGTGAGTGGTTTAAGGAGATTCAAAAATTACTTTTTTTAACACATTTTGTTGCTGTCTTAATCCAGTCTTTCTTTCTCTTTTTCCTGATCAACACTTTAATCTACTAGCCTAAACATCAACCTGTTTCTCCACTGGGAAACAGGGACTACTGAAAAAATTCTATAAAAACTGTATCCCGTCATTATGTCACATTTTATTTACATGTGCATAGTACATGACACTGACCCAGCAAGCTCAGAGCCAGCTCATAGAGTGAGCAGAACCCCTGACACGCCTTTTATATCTGTCAGCCAGGTCTCCCTGATTGGACCAGATTAACAGGCCCCATCAGGGAACTCATATTCTATGAGGTTCACCTGGCTGACCCCGTTCCAATCACTACATCCCTCATCCTCTAAGTCCTGGGACATAGACACATTCTTTCTCCTGTAGCTTGTCCTGGGGCGTTTTCACACCAGGTCCAGTTCCTCTGACTATGCCTCAAATATTAGCGTTGTGTACTGGACTGTAGTCCGCCTGTTTCACCTAGAGCGTCTCAGGCGAAACTCATCTTCTTCAGGTGGTAACAGCGTTGAAGCTGTGACATCTGTCATGTCCTTCACATCCTCAGAGGTTTCTTCAATGCTAGGTGGAGGGGGAGAACCCACCACTGTGGCTATGTTGGCATCCAACCTGGTCATCAGACATACAGTGTCCCCAAAAACTCTGAATGACACTAGTGGAGTTCAGCCAGTGTCTGGTGGCGAACTTTGCTGGGGACAATCACTCTTGCTCCCCATAATAATATGCTGTCCTCTAAGGTGACCTGGTCTCACCAGGTCCAGAAAGATTTCAATTCTGGTTGTGATGCTCCCTTCGTTTCCCCCATCACCTCCAGCTGTTTTAGTTTTGCCACGACGGGATCTTTTGTGTCTACAGTCTGATATTAACAGCAGTGACCAGAATGTTGTCCAGAATGGACTCTTCTGTGTACCTGCCAGTGGGAAGCAGCTCAAAGCATCGCGTTTGCCACTTGGCCTCCTGGACAGTGTTCCAAATTGTAATTGTACGCAGTCAGAATAAGAGCCCACTGTTGAAATCGACCTGAAGCTATGGATGGCACGGCCCTGTCCTCTTTAAGTAGCCCGAGCAGGAGTTTGTTGTCCATTCTATTACAAATCTACATCCATAAAGGAACTGGTGGGATTTTCTCACATCAAAGATGACCACCAAACCTTCCTTCCCTACACAGTCATATCTTTGTAAGGCATTAGCCAAAGTGCAGGAAGCATACGCTGTTGGGTGTTCCTCTCAGCTGGGTCACCGGTGAGCCAACACTACCCCGATATTGTATGGGAAAGCATCACATTTCATCACCATTTCAAAGGCCAACCCTTTTTTAATAGCAAATGTAAGGGTGCCAGGATGGAGGCCAGGTTACATATGAATTTTCCACAATAATTCACCAAGGTTAGGAAAGATCTAAGCTTCAGTACAGACTTGTGACCTGGGGCATCTTTGATCCTCCAACAGGTATAACTAAGCCTTGTCGACTCTGTAGCCCTAGAAGGTCAATTGGAGTGCCTGGAACACACAGATTTTCCTCCTAAGGCATATCTCCACCTTGGGGAAACATTTAAGCACTACGTCAAAGTTTTCTAAATGCTCTTTATTAGTCTTCCCGATTATTAGCATGACATCCAGATAAATGGTGACCTGCGTAGACCTTGTAAAACATTCTCCATGGTCCTCTGGAAAATGGCACAGGCTGATGATATCCCAAAAAGCAGTCTTGTATATTAGTACAAACCCTTGCTGGGTATTAATTGTGGAATACTTCTGGGAATCCTCATTTAATCACAATTGCAGGTACAAGTGGCTCATGTCCAGCTTCATGAAGGACAGCAGCCCACCACCAGTTTTGCATATAAATCCTCTGTGCGAGGGATTGAGTGTTTATCCAGCTGTGAAAAGCGGTTTACTGTTCGTTTAAAATCCCCACAAAGGCGCACTGACCTGTCAGGCTTCACAATTGGTACAATTGGTGCTGCCGGTTCCGCAAACTGTACTGGTTTGATGATTCCTTTGCTTTCCACTCTCCTGATTTCTGCCTCTATTTTGCACTTAAAGCAAATGTCACTGGGTGGGTCTTGCAGAATCATGGAATTGCTTCTTGGTCAAAACTTAATGTGGCCATGGCCGCTTTAATAGTTCATAGACCGCCCTGAAAAACTTCTGGATATTTAATTTGGACTTCACTCAGGCAGCCATTTCATCCCATCAAGCTTATACCCAAGCCTTTTACTACAATCAGTGGTAACTGAATAAACTGCATCTCATAACAGACCGGAATCGAAGTGAACCTTTAATCTGAGAGGTTCCCTGGTATAGGTTCTCAGCGTGGCCAAGATCTTTAGCAATATTAAGGGGTGGAGTCCAGAGAGAATTTTGGTAAAGACGATATCCATGATTACTGATACAGCCACTCTGATATCAACCTCCATTAGAATTGGTTGACCATTTAACCAAACACTTATTTTAATTGGTTCTGATTTGGATGTTGCTAAACAATTCAACTGTTCCAAACCAGCTGTAGGTAGACTTTCCAGGGTGCGTACTCTCCTGGATACCATCCAATGAGTTCTTCTACTGAATTCACGTTTAAAGAGATTCTTTCGCTCTCTCAAGTATGCGTACCATCAGCAATTACAATGGCCTGCCGGCCCAAATCCTTGAGAAAATTTTAACCGTTTGGCCAAGGCTTGGCTTTATTTTAGGGTTTTGCTACGGGGTGACTTAGAGTATCTCTGGTCAGGATACGTCCTGAGTGAGGCTATGTAGTTGCCTTCACTCAAGTGGTGTTCCCCAAGCTCAGTCTGCCTGGTGAGGGTGTCCACTTCCAACAGCATGCCCTGTAACTAATAAGCTCCAGTTGCCACATTTTCTAACGACAAAGCCAGTTGTATTGTCTGTTTGAAGTCCAGTTGGGCTTCAACTAGTCTGCACTTCTGCATGGTCACCTCAATAATTCCACATTCCAAACAATCCCTTAGCATCTCACTTAGGATTAAACGAAAATCACATGCCTTTGCCAGTCATCTTAACCTCATCAAAAATCCTGTTACGGATTCCCCTGGTTCTCGAATTGTCGAATAAAACCAAGAGTGTCTCAGAATTAGAGGAGGCTTGGGGTTGTAATATTCTTTAGTTAGATCCATCCACTCTTGAAAAGTTTTAGTATCTGTTGCCTCAGGGAAAGTTAGACTCCTAATAACTGGAAAAGCTGCGGGTTCACACGCTGTCAGGAGAATTACTCGTTGCTTCTCATCTGCCCCAAATGTCATTTGCTCCGAAAAAATAACATACTCTTTTCACGTACAGGGCCCCGTCTTCGATGGTAGGATTGAACAAGCAAAGTCTCCCAAATCGTGGATTGGTGCCAGAATTGCTTAACCCAACTCAAAGAGACGACTGTTGCGAGCGAATCTCTGCAGGGACATGTTTTTCTTTTGTCACCACTGAAGTAACTCCACGAAGGCCTGTGTACCATCATAAGTCACCCTTTATTTACACATGCATAGTACATGACACTCACCCAGCTTCTACAGTGAGCAGAACCCTTGACATTCCCACTTGTATCTGTCAGCCAGGGTTCCCTGATTGGACCAGATTAACAGCGCCAATCAGGGACCTCATACTCTATGAGATTCACCTGGCTGACCTTGTTCCAATCACTACAACTACAACATATGCAATCTACAAGGTGAACTATAGTAACTTGCCTAAACATCTGCCCTTGACATTCACTGGCAATAACATTGCTAAATTCCCCACCATCAATATCTTGTGGGTTACCATTGACTAGAAACCTAAATGAACCAGCTAGATAAATACAATGGTTATGAGAGAAGGTCACATGCTCTGACTTCTATGGTGAGCAATACACCTGCTGACTGGAAAAAGTCCCTCCACCACGTACAAGGCACAAGTCAGGATTCTGATTGAATAATCCTCATTTGCCTGGATGAGTTCCAACAACATTCAAGAAGCTCAACGCCATGCAAAACAAAGCAACCTGCTTCATCAGAACCCCACCCATTATCATAAACATTCGCTCCCTCTATCACTGTAGCAGCTATGTGTACCATTGGCCAATGCACTGCAATAAGTCATCAAAGTTCCTTCTACAACAACTCCAAAACCCTAAACTAGGAGAATTTAGAAGAACAGGGCTAGCAGACTCATGCAATCACCACCACTACATTCCACTTCAAATGACAAATCATCCTTACGTAGAAATACATTGTCCTTTCTCCATTATTACTAGGCAAAATTCTGGAACTCTCTTCCTAACAGTACATTGTGTGTGCTTAACAGCATTGTTGAGTCTGAAGTGGTACAAAAAGGCTATTGAGACTATCTTCTCAAGAGCATTGAGGGATAATCAATAAATTCTGGACTTACTGGAGATGCTCACATTACATTAATGATTATTAACAAAACCACTAAAATAGAAGACCGAGAAATATACTAACATACTAATTGCCTGTTTGCTCATATTGCTAATAATAATGTACGAGTCTGTTCCAAGAACATTCTAGCTCAAGCCCCACATTTCAGTTCATGACCAGAACTTCTGAGGAAGGTGCACTCGACCCCAAAACATTAACTCTGATTTCCCTCCACAGATGCTGCCACATCTGCTGAGTTTTTCCAGCAATTTCTATTTTTGTTCATGACCAAATCTTGGTTTACTTACAACAGTGACATATGCTCTTGGCTGTCTATATTGACGATGAGACATGGGTGTGAATTGCTAGAGCAGATGTAACCTCCAGCAGATTTCAATCATCATTCTGGGAATGAAGAACAGTAAGTTTGTGCACTAAACTGAATGTTTAGAGCAAACATTCTGTCCACTCTGTTACATGCATCTGAAACTTAGATTGTGTACCAGCATCATGCAAGCTCTTTCAACTGAGCTGCCTTCAGAAGGTCTGAAGATCAAATGCTGGGACAAAATACCAGACTGAGGTGCTTACCGAGCTGACATGCCAAGCGTCCATCTAATTTTGTCAGACAGTTCAGCTCACTAAGTAGCCAGAATACCCGATACTCACTTATCAAAATTAATCTTCAATGCAGAAGTTGAGCCTGGGGTGTTCTCATGTGACAGTTAAAGGAAGTACTACAAAAGCAGCCTGAAGACTTCACTTGGGAGTTTTAACGTTACCTCCAAGTCCCGGGAGAATCCGAGGATTGATGAACCTGGCACAATCAAATTAAAAAAAGGTTCAACATCTCACCTTCTGACTCCCGAAAGACTGTCCACCATCTACAAGGTACAAGTCAGGAGTGTAATATAATACTCCCCACTTGCCTGGATGAGTGCAGCTCCAACAACACTCAAGAAGACTGACACTATTTAGGACAAAGCAGCCCGTTTGATTAGCACCACATCCACAAACACCCATTCATTCCACCACGAATGCTCAGCAGCAACAGTGTGTATTATCTAAAGGTGCACTGCAGAAATTCGTCAAAGGTCCTTAGACAACAGCTTCCAAATCCACAACCACATCCTTCTAGAAGGACAAGGGCAGCAGATACATGGGAACACTACCACCTACAAATTCCCCTCTAAACTAGTCAACATCCTGACTTGGAAATATTTTGCAGTTCTCCCATTGTCAGCTGGGTCAAAATCCTGAATTTCCTCTCTAATAGCACTCTGGGTGTACCTCCGGGACATGGAAAGAAGCAGTTGAAGAAGGCAGCTCACTATCACCTTCTCAAAGGCAACTAGGTACGGGCAATAAATGCTGGCCAGCCAGTGATCCCCATGCCTCTCAACTGAATTTTAAAAAATCCTTCACAAGCAAGTGCATATCAAAAGCAGAGAGAAAACACAAGGCGAGGAAACTCTAAGCCAGCAATTCATCCAAAGCTCAATTGTCTGGGATATCCAATCCTATTAGCAGCAGAACAGTCTGGATGCAGAACAGCCTCAGTAGTCACCTACATTCCCACCAAAATCTGACCAAACACTACAGTTCATAAATATGGTTATCTTTATCTCAGAGGACAAACAAACCTAACAATCTTTTTCTTTCCTCTTGTCCTTCTGAAAAGTCAAATATTCATGCCTTGTTTATGGATACTTTCTAAACATGGGCAGAAAATTAAATTATGGGGACTAGGAGAAAATGGATGACACCCCAGCACCCCACCCCAAAAAAAATGTCAGGAGCCATATGACAGGGCTATACAAGCTGGTCAGGTCCCAAAGGACACAGGTGCTAGACTGGGTCTGTGGCAGGTGATGAGGGAACCAACAAGAGGGAAAAACATACTTGATATCATCCTTACCAATCTGCTGACTGCAGATGCTTCTGTCCATGACAATATCAGCAAGAATGACCACTGCACAGTCCTTGTGGAGACGAAGTCCTGCCTTCACATTGAGAATACCCATTGAGAATAATGTGTGGCACTATCACTGTGCTGAAATGGACAGACTTTGAACAGATCTAGTTACTCAAGATGCAACATCCATGAGGCAATGTGGGCCATCAGCAGCAGCTACAGAATTGTACTCCAATATAATGCAACCTAATGGTCTAGCATATCCACCTCTCAACTACTACCAGCAAGCCAGGGTATCAACCTGGCTCAATGCAGGAGGGCATGCCAAGAGCAGCACCAGACATACCAAAAAATAAGGTGTCAACCTGGTGAAGCTATCAAACAGGACAACTTGCGTGCCAGGTAGCATAAACAGCAAGTGATAGACAGAGCTAAGCAATCCCACAATCAATGGATTAGATCTGAGCTCTGCAATCCTGCCATATGCAGTCATGAATGCTGGTGAACAATTAAACAATTCACTGAAAAAGGAGGGCCCACAAATTATCACATCATCCTCAATGATGGAAGAGCCCAGCACATCAATGTAAAATATAAGGCGGAAGCATTCACAGTAACCTTCAACAAGAAGTGGCCAGTGAATAATCCATCTCAGCCTCCAGTGGTTCCCAGCAATTCACTCCACATGATATCAGAAACAGGTGGAGGCACTGGATACTGCAAAGACGTTGGACCCTGACAACATTCTGCCATAGTACTGATGACCTGTGCTCCAGAACATGTTACACTCCTAGCCAAGCTGATCCAGTACCACTACAACACTGGAATCTACCCAACAATATGGAAAATTGCCCAGATATGACCTGTCACAAAAACCAGGACAAATCCACCCAGCCAATTATCATCCCATCAGTCTACTCTCATTCATCAATAAGGTGATGAAAGGTGTTATCAACAGTGCTGTAAAGCATCACCTGCTTGGCAACAATCTCCTCACTGACGCCCAGTTTGGGTTCCACCAGTGATGCCCAATTCCTGATCTCATTACAGCCTGGTTCAAAGATGGACAAAACAGCTGAATTCCAGAGATGAGGTGAGAGTGACAGCTTTTAATTCAAGGCCACATTTGACCAAGTGGGACATCAAGGACCCTAATCAAAACTGCAATCAATAGGAATTGGGGGCAAACTCTCCACTGACTGGAGTCATACCTGAAATATAGGAAAATGATTGTCGTTGCTAGAGGTCAGTTATCTCAGCTCCAGCACATCTCTTCAGCAGTTCCTCAGGGCAGTGCCCCAAGCCCAATCATCTGCAGCTGCTTCATCAATGAACTTTCCTCCGTCATAAGGTCAGAACTGGGGATGTTCGACAATGATTGCACAACGTTCACCACTATTCATGACCCCTCAAGTATTGAAGCAGTTCACATTCAAAAGCAACAAGATCTGGACAACATCCAGGCTTGGGTTGACAAGTTGCAAGTAACACATGTGCTATACAAATAAATGCTCGGCAATGACCATCTCCAATAACAGACAAGCTAACCCCAGCCCGTTGACATTCAATACTGTTACCATCATTGAATCCCCCACTATCTATTTCCTTGGGATTTAACTTTCAAAAGTTGATTGGGGGCAGATATTTACAGTTAAAGGGATGGCTGAAAAGTGGGAAGCCTTCAAAAATGGGGTAACAAGAGTCCAGAGACAGTATGTTCCTGTTAGGGTGAAGGGCAAGGCTGGTAGGTGTAGAGAATGCTGGATGACAAGAGAAATTGAAGTTTTGGTCAAGAAAAAGAAGGAAACATATGCCAGATACAGACAGCAGAAATCAAGTGAATCCCTAGAACAGTATAAAGATGCATACTTAAGCAGGATATCAGGATGGCAAAAAGAAGATCTGAGATAGCTTTGGTAAATAGGGTAAAGGGGAATACATAGAGATTCTACAAATACATTAAGGACAAAAGAGTAACAAGGGAGAATAGGGCCCCTTAAAGATCAGCAAGGCCGCCTTTGTGTCGAACCACAGCAGACGGAGGAGATACACAATGAGTATTCTGCATCAGTATTTACTGTGGAGAAGGACATGGAAGCTAGAGAATGTAAGGAAATAAATAGTAACATCTTGCAAAATGTCCATATTACTGAGGATGTGCTCGACATCTTAAAACACAAAGGTAGATAAATCACCCGGACTTGATCAGGTGTACTCTAGAACTCTGTGGAAAGCTAGTAAAGTGATTGCTGGGCCCCTTGCTGTGATATTTGTATCATCAATAGCCACAGGTGAGGTGACAGAATACTGGAGGTTGGCTAACGTGGTGCCACTATTCAAGAAAGGTGGTAAGGAAAAGGCAGGGAACTATAGACTAGTGGGCAAGTTGTTGGAGGGGATTCTGAGAGGCAGGATTTACATGTATTTAGAAAAGCAAGGACTGATTAGGGATAATCATCATGGTTTTGTGCATGGGAAAATATGTCTGACTAACTTGATTGCTTTTGTTTTGAAGTAACAAACAGGACTGATGAAGGCAGAGCGGTGGATGTGATCTATATGGACTTCAGTAAGGTATTCGACAAAGTTCTGCACGGTAGACTGGTTAGTGAGGTTAGATCATGTGGAATACAGGGAGAACTAGCTATTTGGATACAGAACTGGCTCGAGGGTAGGAGACAGAGGGTGGTGGTGCGGGGTGGTTTTCAGACTGGAGGCCTGTGACCAGTTGTGTGTCACAAGGATTGGTGCTGATCCATTGCTTTTGTCATTTAATATTTGATTTTTATGTGAACATAAGGGTATGGTTAGTAAGTTTGCAGATGACACCAAAATTCACCGGTAGTGGACAGCGAAGAAGATTACCTCAGAGTACAACAGGACCTTGATCAGATGGGCTGAGGAATGGCACATGGAGTTTAGGTTAGATAAATGTGAGGTGCTGCATTTTGGAAAGGCAAATCAGGGCAGGATTTATGCACTAATGGTAAAGTCCTGTGGAGTGTTGCTGAACAAAGACATCTTGGAGTCCAGGTTCATAGTTCCTTGAAAATGCAATCATAGGTAGACAGGAAAGTGAAAAGGCATTGGGTATGCTTGCATTGGTCAGTATATTGAGTACAGGAGTTGGAAGGTCATGTTGCGACTGTACAGGACATTGGTTGGGCCACTTTTGAAACTGCACTCAATTCTGATCTCCCTGCTATAGAAAGGACGTTGTGAAACTTGAAAGGGTTGGCGGGGTTGAGCTATAAGGAAAGGCTGAATAAGTTGGGGCTAATTTCCCCAGAGCATCAGAGGCTGAGGGGTGACCTTACAGAAGTTTATAAAATCATGAGGGGCATGGATAGGGTGAACAGTTAAGGTCTTTTCCCCAAGGTAGCGGAGTCCAAAACTAAAAGGCATTGGTTTAAGGTGGGAGATTTAAAAGGGATCTAAGGGTCAACGTTTTCAAGCAGAGAGTTGTGCATGTATGGAATGAGCTGCCAGAAGAAGTTTTGGATGCTGGAACAATTACATTTAAAAGGCATCTGGATGGGTATATGAATAGGGAGGGTTTAGAGGGATATGGGCCAAATGCTGGCAAATGGGACTAGATAAATTTAGGATATCTGGTCAACATGGATTATTTGGACCAAAGGGTCTGTTTCCATGCTGTGCAGCTCCATGATGCTAAATACCTATTGCCCTTGATGAAAGATCCGTTCAGCAGCCTGCAGGGGACAAAAATTCACAAAGACGGATCTTTCACAGGCCTAATTACAGATGGGAGTGGCTGTTGAATCCAATGCCTGCAAACTATAGTGACTCACTGGGGCTTGTTTCGCTATAAAAAGCTCCCCCTTGCGATCATGTCAGCCCCAGCCTTATTTGAGATGGCTATGGACCAAATCCTAACTGGA